CCAGAGCTGACTGTGTGTACCTTGTTTATAAGTTCCCCGGTGGAAACCAATAGAGCATGCTTATTATTCCCCTTTTAACAAGTTAAATATCTATTTTTGTTTCCGTCCTGTTCAACTGAGAAGAACGCCACTGCTTCGACCTGCTGTTAGCTTCAGTGTGGATGTTGATTGACCATCTATTTAGATCACGAGCATTGATTAGTGCGAAATTACGTTTCTTGGTCCGCTTATCCTCTCTGAACTTTCGGATGACTCCGCACAAGGATAATGGACACCATCACTCAGCGGCGTACGCCACGTGTCTGCGTTGAATGAAGCCAAAACTGGAAAGATAAACAAAAAGAGTAATCAAAAGCTTAAATAGATCAACAAGAACGTTAAAGAGGGTCAGTCAAAAAAGACTAAACGTGTCGGTCTGAAAAAAGAGGAAGCGCTCACTTACCACCATATTAGTGACCTAGGCAGATTCTGAGCCATTTAGAAGGTTTCGCCAATGCACTAAGAAACATTCGGCTATTTTTTGAAAGGCTTCTGACATAATTAAACGGTAAGCTAAGCTCTAGAAACGTCGAAAAATCTAAAAGACAGAACTTAAAGACAAAAGCAATGGGGAGGTTAATTAACGCAGTCTAATTTTCATATGGTATGGTTCTTTGGGAAAAGTACTCATAAACCTTGTAGAAGCTTCCCTATGTTGCTTTAAAAGCTGTATGATTCACGCTGTTGGGGTCCTTTCATATGGCAATATACAAAGAATTTTGGGACATTCCTTATTTATCGCCCGTTTACAGGCAAGATCAAATGGAATATAAAGTAGAGGATCAAGCTAACAGTAAAATAATTTTCACGATTTTTCTAGTCTTTCTTAGAAGAAAAATTGCAGCTTGTTGAATGAAAAGGGAGTTCCGTAGGAGGAAAGGGTGACACGGGTGCATCATGTATTCAGTCTTCGTTCAGTGTTAGAGATATAGTCTTCTGTACCAGGTAAAGGTGTGTCGGCGAACGATTGTTCTCTGTTGACTGAAGAATTTGGCGATTGCGGGTTGTGGGGTCAGCACTACTGCCCCAAGCATGAGGCCTGGCACGAAGTTCCGTGTCCACGCACATCATCGAAGCGGAAGAGAGATTGAATCGTGCAAGCATCTTAAATTCGTGAAATGTGTCTTTTAACTAGTAAACTAATGGTGGCTCTCTTAAAAAAGAATGACGTTGAATTTTATTGCTTTTGGGTAGCTTATCCTAGATATATATATATATATGACGCTTAAAGGTATGTCTGTTTAAAAGTTCGAACAGTATGAATAGTCCCTCCTTTAATTTGCGAAGCCAGAACAGACCGATGTCACTAAGCTCACAACGTTGTTGGTAGGACAGAAGAAATTCTTTTAGCAAAGAAATGCTGGACCGATTCTATTTTCTACCGTTCTCTAGCACGCAGCAGGTTAAATAGTCGTCAAGTTCCTTCACCTAAGTAAACGGATTAAACGTACAGCAGCTTAAATGCATAAACATTTTAAAAGAGTCATTTTGTAATTGTATGGGTGACTTCAATGCTCCGCTCATCGAGTGGAGCTCAACATACGTACGCAATCCAGAGCAAGCATTCGACCGGCGCTTACTAGCCCTGACACTAAGTTCACCTATCATTCAACA